GAAGATCGCTGGAACAGATTAAGCGATCGCTGCTAGATACAGTAACAGATACACTTTTATGTTAAGTTGAGAAGATACGGAATTTTATTTAATTAAATTTGCGTCTAATGGGCTGATTGCCATGTGATATTGTTTAACTACTTCGCAAACATGTTTTGTACTTCACATGTGCCCCGTCCCATGTTGATAAGAGCAGCAATGGAACCGCTCGCCACTCGCTATTCGCTACTCGCTGGCTTTGTCTTCAATTAAATAGACTTTTTCGGCCCATGCGGACAATTGGTTTAACATATTTAAGCGAAACCGCAATTGTAATTTATACGATAATTTCAAAATTTTATTGTACTTGACATAAAAGGTCAAGAATTTTTTGTAGTTTTATTTTTAGTAAATAAAAAAATTAAAAACCAAACTAAAATTTTTAAAAAAAAAATTTTTTCTCAAACGAAAAATTCATTCTTAATGTTTAGTTTGTCCAAAAAAATTCTTTTTCTATTTATAAAAAAAGTAATGTCGCTGCGTGCCAAGATTTTCCTTACAAATGCATGGAAATGTTTAACGTCAAACGAAGCATTAGACGTGTATTTTGTATCTCATGGAAAACTAATGCATTTTCCTTCACAGTCTCACGTTCAAGGTCATTACCAGCAGTTTTCCTCGTAGCTCGCAGCATGGCGTTTTATACGCGTTCCATGCAGCGCATCCGAAAAGTGTCCGTGATATGTTCTCACATACTGAAATGAACTGCAATTGTATCTCGAAGTCACATTCAAAACAGAAATTCATCTAAGCAAATACAATGTACCATATAATGTATAACTCCACAGCGTGTTTTTACTTCGCTGCTTCCTGAACTGCGTCATTATATTTGTGTGCCTCTAATGGGATTTTATGACTTTTCTGCGTCTGTAGCATTGATGTAGGAAAATACGTCGCTATTTTTAGTCGATTCCTAGGAACTTCTATTGTGTTTACCAGAAAGTATTTCTGTTTGTTTAAATAATTTGAAACGCAATTCTGTGAGGGAGTATTTGAAATTGTTTCCTGCTTTCCTTTTCATCTACCAAAGCAACAACGCAATTGATGCTGTGTTCTTGGCTGAGATTGTTTGAGTTTTTCGAGTTCCCGAGTTGAGTTAAATTTGTTTAATTTTAGGGTTGAAAAATAATTTTCAGAAAATGACATAGCACTAAACCTTTTTCGAAATGTGAATGAGATAAATTTTTCCTCTAGATAAATTCAGAGATTTTATACCAATTTACAGCACAGTACATATTTAAAACTACGCTCGGCATTAACGAATTATAATTTCAAATCTTACTAAATAATAATAATTAATATAATATTGAGTTTTTATAAAAATGATTATAGTAAACATTCACTAAATAAACTTTCACATCGTTTTAATCTACAAAACTATATTTATGTCTCTATCTATGAATGCAGTCTCCTTCAAGGGTAATACTCGTAGAATCATATCAGCGTTTCTCTAAGATTTCGATACCTCTCTTGTATAATGAACTAACTTTGGCTTGAAAATATCCCTCAGTTATCGACAATGTCTTTTTTAACTACAAAATTAAATTTATGTACATAAATCTATTAATGCAGTGTCCTTCAAGAGTAACACAATTATAACAGCGTTTCTTCAAAATCTCTATACCTATCTTGTAGACTGATCTATCTTTGGTGTTAAAATAAGACTCAGTTTCAACAATGAATTCTTATTGGAGCCAAATTTAGTGCATAAAATAGGTGCAGAAGCAATTCGAACTTTTACTTCGTTTGTGCCAGTTTAGCAAAAATATTTCAAACTGTCTTTCGTTCTATATTTCAAACATGTTTCAAAAGACTTCAAACTATCTTCACCAGAATTGTTCTGTTAAGGGCCCATTAGACAGCAACGTTCGTTGTCAACGCGCGCTTGCCATTACACAAACAATTTTTTAACAATTTTTAAAACACGCCCCAGATAAAACAACAAATATACTAAAAAATCGCTCTCACATGAGAATTTTTTTCTCCTACTTTTCTCCTACTTTGTGAAATGCAAAATTTGTTTGTGTAATAGTAACATTTGAAATTTTAAGAAATGTGTTGACGAAAATCAAAAAATTTT